TATATATATATATATATATATGTATGTATGTATGTATGTATATATGTATGTGTAATATTAAAGATATACATACGAAAGATTCGATTGATACTTGTGTGTTATTTTCCTTAAAATTTATTGGTCTAAATGAAGGAGACATGAATTGAACATTTTATTTAATTGAATGAAAAAGACCACCATGATGTTAATAATTTGGGCAACGCTAAAGCCGCAGGAGTCAATACGTTCACTCCAACGGAATAAGAAATTTAAACCTTGGCGTGTGGTGCGGATAATTTTGACTTTGACTTTTAGATAATCCCCTCTCATTTTTGTTGAAATTATAGCTTTTGTTCGGAATACGTCGAGCAAGGATATATTAATTTACTTTGACATTAAGGCAGCATATAGGCAGCATATAAGTGCATGGACATTTTTAAAAACGCCGTGATACTGTTTGGATCGTGCGTTTTATACGCTTATACGAAAACACGGTTCCATTTTTATATTAAACGTAGGCCGCGGGTCGAACCCCGCGGTCGACCCGCGGGCCGCGTTTTAAGATACGATGTTTATCCTGAAACGCATAAGCTACCCCAAACGCACCCTAAATTATTTAATTAGGGGAGATAATTATAAACCCTGAAAATTTAATAATTATTTTTATATTAAGAATTTAACAGGTTTCTCAAAAAATTAAGCAGTTTCTTATGTCATGGGATAAACTCTCTTCATTTGAATTAGACAATTAGGATGAACTTCACTTTTTGCAATTTGATCTGACTAAGTGCATTGGTTACCAAAAGCTACAATTTAATTGTTGAAAATAAAAAAAAAAATTATAATAATCACTGCTAGGGCTGTCAAAACGGTTTGTTGTTCATGAATTGCTAGTGTTTGGCTCATTATGTAGCTTGTTTTCGAATCGTTCGCTAAACAAATGAGCCGAAGACAACATTTTTTGTGTGCTTGATATATAAGAGTCAAACACGATTCAAGATTTGTTCGTTCGTATTAGTTGACTGTAAGTTATAATGATTTATAATCAATTAAATTATTAATTAAAAAAGAAAATAAAATATATTAAGTTCTATTTAAATGAATATTTTAATATAAATAATAATGTTCAAATCTCGTCCTATCCTTAACATCCTATGGTTGTGCGATTAGGGCTGTCAAAATGACTTTGTTCGCGAACTTGGGTTGTTAAATATGCAAGGAAAACAATTAAGATTTATGCAATATTTAACGGGTCAAACACGAATAATTTATTTGTGTTCGATATATAAACGAGCCGAACATGAGCCGAGCACGGGCTCACTCAAGCTCGGCTCGTTTACACGTAAACTCCCACTCACTATTGCTTTTTGAACAGTGATTTTTTATATAAGAACTTTATAACTGCTTCTTCAAATAGCCACAGCTTCACTCTTAAGATAAACGAATTCATCCCAACAACTCAACATAAGCACTTGTAGAGTTGGCATAAAATTGTTGAAACCTACTTATTATTAGAATCATTAACTTGTGCTTAATATAATCAAATAAAAATCATAGAATTTCTCTCTATCACGAAGATTATTAAAATTATAGAACTAATTCAAAATTAATTAATATACGAAATTCAAATAATTTACAATATATTAAATCAAGTAAATCATTATCGTCATGTATTAGTTTGAGATTTATATAAACATCTATTTGAAACATTTTTCATTAATTTTCATGAATTTTGATACCTTAACATTGAACAAATAGACACGTGACACGTGTCATGAAAAATATATTTCACCAACCAACACGGGTGCATTAAGGTGCGCCGTCGGTGCCGACCCTTCAATTTCTGAGACGCGTTGTGACTTTTTTTTTTGCCATTGTATATTGAAGTATTTACATACATACCACAGAATTGTAATGTAATTACAAATGTACCATCTAAATTTTAATTTTTACATTTATAACACTCAGATGTTAGAACTTAAAAAAAAATTCACATTCAATTTCGAGAGAAATAAACCATAGATTAGCGGAAGCGTACCGGAATCCATTAGATCGATTGCACAAGATATGATCTTCCAATCTGCAGATTATCCAAATATTCCTTAGTTTTCTTGTTGATGGGGTGCAAGAAAGGGATGCGTCTCTCTGCAAATTGGGGACCATCACCCTTTAAAGTAACTACCAGGTAGTTACAAAAAAAGTTTTGCTTAATTCTAATTCTGCCCCTCATCAAATTAGAATTTGCACTTATGGTATCCACACTATAATATCATGACAAATGTGCCCAAAGTCATAAACTTAATTCTAAATTAGACCAAAATAATTTTGATTTATTTAATGATGACCCAACACATTTATTAATTACATTGTAGTCCCAAAATTAATCCAACAATCTCCCCCTGGACTACATATGTATAAGATAAATGTGTCAACCTTAGTGCGCCCAAAATTTAAAATTTTGTCATCATCATTATGAAGACACATTACAATCTCGTCCATTAATTATATCAATACAGGATCAAAGCAGTCTTCGTTGTATCCGTCACAACTAAACCCATCAATGGTCACATATATCAATATAATCAAATGACATAGATCAATCATGAATGTGTGGAATGAAAATTACATGCAAGGTGGTCTGTCCATGTCAATTTTCAACTGGTCCTACTTTACTTAAGTGAGATCGAACCTTAACTGTACAGAGTGCACTGAACTGAATAAAATACCTCATTTCTGATCAGAAAATATCCAAATATATCTTGTACACAAAATAAAACATAAAACTATAAAACACAAGTTAACAAACTCCCACTGAATCTAAATTCCCTCAAGCTCTATAACACCCATATGAGCAGTATGCTCATGAAAGACCCTGGGTATCAGAGCCTTTGTAAGGGGGTCCGCAATCATGGAGTTTGTTCCTAAATGCTCTATGTGAATCTGGCCACTCTGTACTCTTTCCTTCACAACAAGAAATTTGATGTCAATATGCTTTGACTTGGTTGAGCTCCTGTTGTTATTGGAATACAATACAGCTGATTTATTGTCACAAAACAACTTGAGTGGTCTTTCAATTCCTTCCATAATGCGCAGCCCAGTGACAAAATTTCTCAGCCATATACCATGGTTGGATGCCTCATAACATGCTACGTACTCTGCTGCCATGGTGGATGAAGCTATGAGTGTTTGTTTTGCACTCCTCCAGGATATAGCTCCACCACCTAACAGAAAAATGTAGCCTGATGTGGATCTTCTGCTGTCTTGGCATCCAGCAAAATCGGAGTCAGAATACCCAATGATCTCCAAATAGTCTGATCTCCTATAAGTAAGCATGTAATCTTTTGTTCTTCTTAAGTATCTCATAACCCTTTTGGCTGCTTTCCAATGATCCATTCCTGGATTGCTTAAGTATCTGCCTAAAACTCCAACAATGTACGCAATATCTGGTCGCGTACAAACTTGAGCATACATTAGACTCCCTACAGCTGAAGCATAGGGAATCTTTTGCATTTCTTGAATCTCAAGGTTTCCTTTTGGGCACTGATTGAGACTGAACTTGTCTCCTTTAGCGACAGGGGTGTCAATTGGTCTACAATTCTGCATGCCAAATCTTTTAAGTACTTTATCAATATAGCTTCTTTGTGATAATCCAAGAATACACTGAGAACGATCTCGGTGAATCTGAATTCCTAAAACAAATGAGGCATCACCAAGATCTTTCATCTCGAAATTAATTGATAGAAATCTCTTGGTTTCGTGCAACATGCCTATATCATTTGTGGCAAGCAGTATGTCGTCCACATACAAAATCAGAAAAATATGCTTTCTCCCACTAAATTTATGATACACACAATCATCAACTGCATTCATTTCAAAACCAAAAGATAGAATCACTTGATGAAATTTGTGATACCATTGACGGGAAGCTTGTTTAAGCCCATAAATAGATTTTGTCAGTTTGCAAACCATATTCTTTGGATCTCCCGACACAAAGTTTTCTGGTTGCACCATATA